CCAAAATCCCTGCTGCAGTGTGTGCAAACCTGGTCAAGAACTACAGGAAACGTCTGACCTCTGTAACTGTAAACAAAGGTTTTGGTACCAAATATTAAGTTCTATTTTTCTATTGTATCAAATACTTACTTCATGCAATAAAATGGAAATAAATAATTTAAAAATCTAACTGTGATTTTCTGGAATTTTTTGTAGATTCTGTCTCTCACAGCTGAGGTGTACCTACGATGAAAATTACAGATCTGTCCATTCTTTAAGTGGGAGAACTTGAAAAATTGTGTATCAAATACTTATTTGCCCCACTGTATCTCAGAGCCACATACTGTACAAGAATAACTGAGTTGGGTACCACTAGTTCTGTGGAATTTATTTTTGGTTTTAGTGAACTGTTCAAGGGTCTTGATAACAAGCAAATTGCTCCGAGTGGCTATGCCAGTTGATGTGTGTATGGGTGAACAAGAGGCAAATTGTAAAGTGCATTGGATAAAAGTGATGTAATGTCTGGGTGTGGTGTACATTAGCCTTTTTCAGTGTTTGCTTAGACACTTGCCACCTGAAATTCTGCAACAAGGATAAGGACGCCATTCAAAAGAATGTGGTGCATCAAGATTGTTTGCTGTCAGCCAAAGCCGGCAAAGCAGTTGTATGCATCAGCACAATCTGTTCACATTAGACCATTGTTCTGTAAGGGAGGGAGCTGAGGGTGTTAACCTTATGTACAAGTGAAACCGTTGGTCTGGCCTCCTGGAAATGTTCAGAATTATGCGTGCTCGTCTGATTCCTGTTTCAGACTCACTGAACACACCCACATACCAAACAGAGACGCATATTTGTGCTGACGCTTGAATGGTTAAACTATATCTGTTTCCTGTCATAAATCTTCTTTCAGCTTCAACAACACAAAGCTGCTTCAAACCTGAACTACTTTCAGGGTATGCAATACTGCATTCACACTCAAGCTTTACTCTAAAACCAAATTTAGAAAAAAAAGAGCTCATTTTGTCATTAGTTTGTGTTACAGTTTCCATTACATTTCAGTGATGACTATGTGCGTCATTATGTGTTTGTTGACCTTCTCCTGGTATGTTAGTGTCAAACTCCAAAGGACTACACTCAGCTGGGGCCAACCTGTACATTGCCTGAATGTTTTGGAACACACACCCACTGTCGGCTGAAAACCTATCACAACTTTTTGGGATTTTCATATGTTGATGATATTATGACAGATTATTTGTTCTAAGGCAAAAGACAATGATTTGTGAAAACCTTAAGCATGAAGTGACATCTCAGAATTGACCATTGACCAATTGTCACATAACTTCTGCCCGGTTCCTCTAAGATTCACTTATTTATTGTAAACATCAAATCAATCCATCCAATTGTTGTTGAGACATTTCACTGAAAACCACAAACATCAGCCTCATGGTGACGTTAGAAAAGCCACAGTAACACTGAAGCCAGTAGGATACAATGAATGTTTGAACAAAATTTGGTGCCAATACGGTAGATGAAGAAATAATTCACTGTATAAATGAAAGGTTGACCTACTGGTGCTGGAGTAAAAGTGAGAGGATCACCAAAGTCGGCAGGATTCATCCTCTGAGCATGAAAGTGTGTGTGTGAATAGGCTTCTACAGCTCCAAACAAATGAGGTTATTATAATAATGATGGTGGTGATGATGATGGTAATGAAAATGTAATATTTACTAATGTTTTGTTGTTTCTTTTCAGAATAGCCTATCCTCCTCTGCACACCTTTTGCCACCACCAGCAAAAACTAATGTACGATGTGAGTCAAAGATCCAAGGAGAACATATGAGGAGAGGAATCAAGAAAACTTTTTACAGGTATTAGATGTCCTTTCCTCTGAGCCTTTGTCCAAGTGTCCAATCAGCAAGTGAGTTCTAATATGCTCTTGTGTACAATTGGTGTACGAATCTGGTGAACAAAAAACAATTTTAAAAGAGGACATTTTCATTAGTTCTTGAAAAGCTGCACTTCTGGGGTACAAGAGAGTTTTGTGATTAGGTTGTCGGAGGGTCCCTGGAGACCCTTGGTGGCTCTTTGGCCCTTTTAAGCAGCTTGGCTTGCTTATGGCTGATCTTCTATTAGAGCAGCTACCTGACAGTAATTGAACATATGATCAGCCTTTATTTTCTAATTGTGTTCACTGAGCTGCAAGCCTCTCAGCTCAGCAAACAGCAGTCAGTCCCCATCAGTAGATGGTCTCTTCAGCCATCTCAGGTAGGTGTTCATTACAGTTTCTCACGGGATGTTATGGTCTCTTCAGCTGAACCTGTGCAGGGACTTGACCAGCAATTTTTTTTTACCAAACAGGGAGCAAAGGGTTGATTTCATATGAGCAAATACTGCTTACAAAGAGTAGCTTCCTTTCTATAGGAGAAAAGCAGTGATGTTTCAAACATTGTCACAAATTTGAATGGATTTGCTTAAAGTCAGAGGAATGAAGGCTCTGATTTTGTCTAATGAAAGTGCTGTATGTCATGGAAACAAATCATAGACGTATTAACACACACCTACTGGAGCCTTTGAGATGTCATATTGCGTAGGACATGACAGCCTGTCACATGAGCATTCTTGTTTAAAAACCACAAAACCGGTTTAGACATTACACTCATTCATTGTGTAGATACTGGACTACACCTGAAGTCACCTGTAACACAGTAAGTGCAAGTATTATCTGTGTGATCTGTATTTGCTTTGTTGAACAAAAGTGTTTAATCTTATAATCATTAAATAGGACAACTCATAATCTGACATGAACTGGCCTTTTTTTGTTTCTTCTGTAAGCAAAAGTGATGCAATTGGTCTGATCCACTTATTCAGACAAATGTGGTCGGTCTTTCAATTCAAGTACATCACCAGGGTTTTATGCTTGTCAAGTCCAATTTTATGGAAGCTTTATATTTTCTGTCTTAAGGTTTAGTGTAATACCGTAAACATGAGTTTAAAAGTATCGCGTTAGAGTTGACTCTTTCATCAAAAGTAACTTATCAAATAAAATTTGGCTGAACAATACAGCCTATACATGTTCAGATTCTTACAGTTGTTATTTTGAAAAAGTAAGTCAAATAGAGATGAAAGAAAATGGAAGAAAAATATATATATATTCAGCATTCAGTATGGAAAATTTTTCGACTTTAATAAATAACAACAACTGAAATTTATCATTTATAAAAGCATTCAGATCTTCAATTCATTTAAGCTCCTTTGACATCTAGTCTATACAAACTTTCTCTGTGCCCTTGAGGACATTCAGAGCTTTAGAAACGGTTCCACAGTGTTGCCTCGATCTATGACTTGCTACAGTTTTATCACAGAGGTTATTATGGGTTATTGAGTGTACACTGATGGGCAAAAGTAGCAAATTTATCTGTGTACCATTAAATCTACAACACAATAAACTGTGAAAAAAGCAAAGGGTATGTGTTTGACATATCAATCTCAGATATTTTCCAAAAGTGAAAATTAATTTCTAAATGTTCTGTACAAGAAAGTAAAATAAAGTCAAGTCAGAGACCAGATTTTAAATGTTACATTGTTGCATTTAGTTTATTTACTCTATTCTAATTTTACTTGCAGTAACTACATTACATAAATAAAGCAGCAGAACACAGGCTCAAGGCTGAACATTTAGTTTCCGTAAGTATGAATATACATTTTTAAGACATTACAACATATAGCCTGCTGCTCTATGCTAATTTTTTCATTAATTTTATTTATATATTCATTTCATTTAGATTGATTTTTTTGTCCTTCTTTTTGTGTTAGTGAATGAAAAGTTGAATCTATACAAATGTTTTTGTCTTATTGTTTCTGACTGAAGATAAACATGGCAGCAGTGTCACCCAGCTCTCACCTCAGCAAGGCCGTGCGCCAGCAGTACATGAGCCTGCCCCAGGGAGAGACATGCCAGGTCACCTACGTCTGGATTGATGGCACCGGAGAGGGACTTCGCAGTAAGACCCGAACCTTATACAGTGAACCAAAAAGCATAGAAGGTAATTTTTTTCTTTTTATAATTTATTACTTTTTGGGTGAGAAGTATTTAACTGAAAACTGTATACTTGACAATGCCGATTTTTCACCCTTTAGCTTTATGCCTTGAACAATAAAATTTTTAATAATAAAGGTGCATAGAATAAGTTTAAAGACCCCCTAAAGTCAAAAACATGTTTTTTATTTTTATTTGCCATAAAATGTCAGACTTCTGCTGTACTGACTGGTGTATGTGCAAAGTCTGTCATTAACAGGATGTTTTCACATTATTCTGCTGAAGGGGGCAGCGCCAGTCCACTTCCTAAAAATCCTGAAATGTCCATGGGCAAACCAAATTTGTGACAATTGAAAGCCAATTATAGTTCACTATGCAAATGCAGAGTTTGACAGCACCTGCTGAAACATGATGCCTAAAACCTCTGACCTGGGATTAGCCAGAGCTAACTTTTGAGTGATAGGATTGTGTTCACTAAAGTTGAATGTTGGCAGTAAATATAATAGTGCACAGCTTTTGGATGTAAACCAGGTGGCGTGAGACACGTACCATTGTTAACAGATCGTTAGCTATGGTTTTGGCTTCTGGTAGCAGCCAAAGTGCTTCTACTAGCCAGCTGCCAATAACACAAAGCTCCTGGTCTTATATTAACATAACATTAACATTACTAGATTAACTTTTGTATCAACTTAAAAAATTAAGAGAGCTATCAAATGTTATGAGATATACAACTATGTGCCGGTGTTTAACAACTAGCGTTAACTTAAGATACATTTGGCTCACTGCTAAAGCTAACAGTTAACCATGTGCTAATGGTTAACTTAGCCTCAAGCAAAAATAAAGAGATACTAACATACTATCAAACACCATGAGACACTGCTGCTGAAGTGTTGGACCAACTGACAAAATAAAGACATACTGTCAAACTGTCACCCAGACTGTAAATACATTTTCACATTCAAATTAAATCTTTTGTACAGTATTGCTATGTAATGGGTGAACAAGGCTCAAACATAAACTGCTACATCTCTTCATTTTTCACTCTTGCATCTCATCTCGTCCTGATACAGCAAGTTTACCGGGGGTCACCTTTATACGTATACTGTATATTTGAATAGTCATAGATCCTGGAATGCACAATGAGGGGCAAATGTCAAGGCCTACTACAGAGATTCATGAAACATTTTTTGAGGAAAAACTGTGTTAGACTATTTATTGTTTATAGCAATAAATATCAGAATGAGCTGTGAAGTGGTTAAAACTTTTGAATTGCACAGCCCTGTTGTCAGAGAAAAGCTGTATGGAAAGAGAGGACTACACACCTACACTGTACACAAGGACATCCTGTTGCAACCTCAGTAACATGTTAACTTAGCTGAATAGCAAATATTTGTTAGTGCTTACTACACTAGTCTAATTTAGACATGCGTAATCTCAGAATCAGTTAATAGCCAATAATCATGGTATATAGCATTTAGCTATATACCATGGTTACCAAAACAGGGCTATAAGGGAATCAGAATCTGCTTTATTGGCCAGGTGTGTTGGACACACGAGGAATTTGACTGATACATCGGCTCTCAATGTGTATGTACATATCCCCATGCAAGGGGCAAGTAAACAGTAAACCAGCATAAGGCTGTGTAGTATGACTGCAGTATTAACAAGCAACAAATAGTGCAAACAATGCAAAATCAGCAGTAACAGGCAGTAAACAATGCAGACAGACAAAGGAATGCTCATTGAAATGAGATAAATAGGAATAAAAACAGAGTACTTAAAAAATAGAGATCTGTACGAAGCC